CAACTCTCACCCCCACACCCCCCCAAAAAAAAAACCGGCAAAAAGGTAAATTATTTATTGTGGCGAATAAATCGAAAGAAATTTCAGATTTTCAGCTGTGGGCATCCGAACGTGTCGTGCCCACAGCCACGTCGGGGATCAGACCCAGAGTCCGCGGGCTCAGGCGTCGGGCAAAATAATTTTCACCCCCGAGGGAACACTTCGAAGAATAAAATACACTAAGTAAGCGTCACATCACAAGCGTAACTTGTTGACCCGATGGTGCCCTTAAAGTGATTATCTAAAAATATTTCGTTGTTTGCTTTAAGCAAACCGCAGTTCAGCTTTTGTTGCACCGCCTTTAGAAAATAACCTAAATAACCTAATCTTTCCCTGGCCGCTGATCTAAGCTGAGCTGAAAACTTCACTTTTTGGTTTGGTTTGGTTTGGTTTGGTTCTACTCTTTAAAAATCCTGACACAACTGTGCCATCTGGTCGGGGGGGGGAAAATGAGCAGTTCTTCCTCATGCAGCTGCTTAGTTTTTCTTAATAACCAAGATTATTGCCCAGCACAGACCAAGAGGCAGAGCGGAGGAAAAACCTGTTCCTTTTCAATCCAGATGCCAAATATTCAGTGTCCTTCCTTCCCTCTGCTTGTGCAGTGTTGGGACTGGCGAGGCTGTGCCTCGATAAATACTGAAGGTTTGCTTACTTTGGCAGGGGCGGTGAAACGCTGTGTCGGTTCATATAAACTATTTTTCACTTGTGGGTGCTTTTTATGTGCCCAGCAAACAGGTAAATGACTCGTGGGTTGATAAGCTCCTTTGTAGTTCTCGTGGAATAGCTTTTATCTGTGTGCAGGCTGATACGTCTGTTCCATGTGCTCTTCTCCCCTGACATCAGAAAGAAAAAGGGGTTAAACTGTGTTTTGCGGGAAGTCATGCTGAAAAGCAGAGAAGGGAAACATTATCCCGAGTTTCTCCCGTAGCAGAATGCCTTTTCTGCACCAGGCAGGGCTTGGCCTGTGTGCTCACACATAAAAACAAAAAGGCACTTTGCTGTCTTCCCGGAAAAGCCAGAATTGTGCAATCCTGCTACTTATTGCATCTGTCGATAGTTATAATTCCTGTCAGCCCTTTGCTTCCGGAAACAGTCTGATTCCCAGGCTGCCAGAGAGTTTTTCTGATAGGATTGTTTTGATACTTTTACCTACTGAGGTATGTGAGTACCTTTCCTTTTTTTTTTTGTTTCGACGGTTGTGTAACATCATGTTAATTACATATTCCTTATTATTTTAAGTATAGCTCTGTGTGATTTTGTACAGGGGAGGGCAGGAACTGGATTTACCGCTCCTGCCTTCCATAAGTTTCTAACCAGTTAAAATGCTGCCAGCTTCGGGAAAACAACTCCAGGTTTGCCCCTTATGAGAAAAAACAAATGCAAGCACTCTCTGCCTGCTTCTGGGCTTTCGGGTGACCTTCCTGCTAAAATGTTTGTGTGCTTTACTAGAGTTCATTTCTGTATTACAATAACTTCCTTTGTTAGTTGAAATTTCTTCGGTCAAAAGCGAAACTGCAAATAAACACGTCGTTTGGGCTAATTAAGTATTCGTGATACATGGGCTGAATGACTGAGGTGGTTTTGAACTGGCTGTGATGGTACCTTATTTATTTTTTCTAGCAACTGATTGCTGTAACTCCAGAGCCTGAATAGGCAACATCTGGAAAACAAAAAAATACTAAGTATTCTTGCATTTCTTTCAGTCGTGATTGACTTAGAAAGTCGGAGTCGGTGAGGGGAGATATGTTTTCTTTCGCTTTCTGGGAAGTTCGTGGTGGGTGAGAAGAGTTATAAGAAAGTATATTCTCCTAATGATTTGCCTGCCTGGTTACGATTCGGGAACGCCGTGGTGATATTTAAGGCAGGAATGGTGCTTTTCTGCAGGGCTGGCTCTTGCCACAAGGGGACACGAGCCACGCGCTCGGTGTTTCTGTGTCGTGCATGTGGCAGATGTGCCGTGGTGAGCTCAGCAGAAAGCTTGAGAAGGGTGCGAGAGATGAGTAGTTGTTCCCCCCCCCCAGGCTGGTTTTTATTTGCTTGTGCCCGGGCGATGCCGGGGTACGATGCTGTTCACTGCCTCACCTGTAACAGCGTGTGTTGGGTTCCTGTACCAACCCGTACCCTCCTGCTGCTCTTCCTCCCTGCTTCTCAGCCCTTTTATTATTCCAAAGCACCTTAGCACCGAGGGCACAGGGAGTGGGAGCCGGTAGGTGGCAATGTGTGACCGCACATGGGAAGCCATCATTCCTTTGGGGGTTTTTGGTGTTTTCTGAGTATTTGGTGTTGGTTCGTGGGGGGGTTTCTTTCTTTTTTTCCTTATTTTTTTTTCGTTTTAAGTCAGAAATTTCGTTTCGATATTGCAAGAGCTGTTGAGGTGCTTGTAAGATAGTGGTAACAGTGGTAACTTCCAAGAGTTAGTTTGGGAAAGGCATAGTGCAGTAAATAATTAGGTTCTGCAATGAGTTATTGTTACTGTACAGCAAACAAGTACCTCGTGTTCAAACACAAAAAAAATAGGCCCCTCTCAAAGACAGGTGTGTTCCAAAGGTATCCCAGTGTATTCCACTGGATCTCAGCGTGAGAGGGAAGAGAGATGCATGAGGAAGAGGAGGAGGAGTGTTCACTGCACTCTTAGATCCCAGTGCCAAGAACAGCTCCACTCCATGAAGCAGACAGGAGATCTTCCAAAGGAGGAAGAGAGAGCACTGTTCCCTCTATTTATTTCTTTGCTCCTTGTTTACTTAGGAAAAAGAAGTCTTCCATTTCCCATGTCACCTGACCTGAATAAACTGCTGAGGAAGCTCACTTTGAATACCAAAGGGAACTGCTCCTTACAAGATGGACTTTGTCATGCCCCTCTCCGAGGTCTTTTTTTCTTTCTACATTACAGTCTGCCCTTGGTCCTCCTTTGGAGCCCCTCTGCCTTCTTCCCTTCTCTTCCTTCTTGCCTGTCTGCTATCTCAGTTTCTCCTCCATCTTCCTGCCCCTCTTGCTGTTCTTCCCTCTTACCATCCTCCTGATTGTTCTTCCTGTTGCTCTTTGCACCCTTTGTTTATTTTTTTTCTCTGGACCCTTTCTCCCTCTGTCTGGATTCTCTCCCTTTTGTCCACCCTACTGCCCTTATTCCCATATGGACACTGTGGAAAGAGGTGGAGGTGTGATCTTGGAGTCCCTTCATGTTGACAGCTGTATCTTTGCAGGAAGGTTCATGCAGCTTGGTGGGAGAGAAGCTCCAGTAATTCCATAATGTGGAAAAGGAAAAGTAAGGGAGGTTCAATGCCACAGACCAACTACTTGTTTCTTGCTCAAAATTAAATCATCTTTAAGGCCTGACACAGCATAAAAATTGTCAGCTCTTCCCTATTGTTCTTTTTAGAAGCTGGAACAAAGCTTGGAGTCTTAAATGTGTTGGAGCTTCACGTCTCCCAGAGAACTTTGTCTTCATGAAGAAAATTAAGAGCTGAAAAGGAAAAAAAGTAATTTGTGCAACTATTTTGAGTTTAACCAGGAGGTTAAACGTTGCCTTCACCAGGCCCCAGATTTTACCATGGAGACTGAATCTGCCCTCTCTGTCTGGTTTGACACCAGTTAGATAATTTCTGGGCTGAACAGAACCAACATTTCCAGCTCCCTTGATTAAACAAAGTTATTTTGAAGAATTAAAGATGAACTGTATATAAACTGTATTTTGCTGTTATGTAGCAGAGCCGGAGAATATAGTGGGCTTTTTGTTGTTTTGGGTTTTTTACCCCTTTGAATTTGTGTAGGTGTGAAGGTGCTAAAGATTCCACGTTGTGTGGCACTGAAACCTCTGTTCCATTTACCTCAGTTTATAGCATTTAGGGGCGTGGAGTCGGCCTTGGAGGTACATACACGGCCCTTTTTCTCTTTTTTTCATTAAAGATCTGTATGATTCTGTCCAAAACAGCTCGAGTAGCCTCCTTCCTACTCTGGGAAGCAGGTGCCTGGTTCATCTTTACCTTTGATTGCTCTGGAAACCCTCCCTCGGTGCATTTGCTGTCTGATGAGGTTCAGAAAAAAAGGACATTTTATCGCTGTAGGGACATAAATTGGCTTTGAGAGGAGGTGAAGGCAGCGGGTATCTCTTCCCTCTTTGCAGCCCCTTGCTTGGGACTCAAGTCTGCCCCTTACAGAAACTCCTGGTGGTTGGAAACAGCGGGATCTCCCAGCACAGGGAGCGTCAGTTTATGGCTCTGTGTATGGTCTCACAAGGGAACACTGTTCAATAGGCTTCAAAGTGATTCAGCCCTGGCATAACCGTGGCTGTGGCCACATGTAATATAGCCTGTAGCTCTTTAAAGAGGATTAGCCTTAGATCAGGGACAGCATTCATTGCTGGGTCTCATGGAAAGCAGAATATGCTAATGAAATGGAAATGTCTACAGCAAACATTGCAT